AAAAATAGTAATCGAAATCTATATTACTACAGAATTTGTGTAGGGAAATCACAATATGATCCGTTTAAATACGTTAGATTTTTTATCATTGTATTTTTACAGTGAATATACACGTATATAATTATAAATTAATAGTTAAAACATTCATGACAGCTATACATGACACAAAAGATGAACTACCCATCAACACAGGAACACATAGGTGCGCAGACGAGGGCACTCCCCCAAAAAATGAATTTATGGAGGGAAGCTCAGCAGTTTCTTCAGAATTTCACAGGCACCTGAAGATGATCAATTTTGATCGAAACATGTAATGTGCATACACCAGTGATGTTGAAGATATTTCAAAGGTAAAATCTTTAAATGCTTTAAAGAAACAAGTTGCATACAAGGTGTTTAATAACTAACAAGGCATAATAAGTCAGATATCGCGTTTACGAGACAACACGCCGTTACAATTTTGCAGTTAAAACAAGAAGTATTTCACTATAGAAGTACTTACTTACTTAATTATGGAGCTGAGCCCTTCTTGAGGAGAAGCCAAATCTGCAGCTACTCAAGAAAGTTCCAGCATTTTATGGAACCAGAAGGTTCATTACCGTGTTCACAAGAGCCCTCCATTGGTCCCAATCATGAGCCAGATCAATTCAATCAATACCATTCCGTTCTATCTCTCTAAGATCAATTTTAATATTGTCCACCCACCAAAGCCTTGGTCTTCCTAGTGGTCTCCTTCTTTCTGGCTTTCCCATCAATATCCTATATGTATTTCTCATCTCCTCCATTCGTGCTACATGCCCTGTCCACCTCATCTTCCTTGACTTCATCATTCTAATTATACTTTGAGAAAAGTACAAGTTATGAACCTTCTCATCACATATGAAAATACTTGTAAAGATATTAAACGTAATTATCATATATGTTAGACCGTGACTATATTAACAAAACTGCTTGCTGCCTAGTACAACTTTGTAACTACCTGAGCAACTAACAGCAATTAAATCCATCCGATATGTTCTCGTAAATCTGATTTCGATTAAATCGACATTATGTGCTTGAATCTCTCTTTCGCGCACTCTCGTATATTCCTAAAGATACCATATATGCAGACTTATTTAGACTGAAGATCTTTATAAATTATTGAAATATAATTACAAGAGTTAAGGCATTTTAGATAAACCCCATTTTCTTCCCGGAGCTCATCTGAGGTGCTCGTAATTTTTGTTAGGTGGGTCCTTTGTCACCACGGCATGGAGCGTCCTCAGGTTGCGGATGGAGGAGACGCCCTCCCGTTTTGGAAGGAAGGTGCGAATAAACTTAATAAGCAATCGCGGACAGCCAACAAGGGGTGGTCCTCCAGATTGGGGGTTGAGCGTGGAGCTAACAACTCCTCACGGTAAAAAATAATTATGTTACGAAAATGATCACAAGACCTCGGACCTGGACTGATTCCTTGGATAAACCACCTAAGCTAAAGAAATTGGATATGAGATTTGGCACTTGGAATGTTCGAAGTTTGTATAGGGCAGGTTCGCTCAGGGCAGTGGCACAAGAAATCTTAAAATATAAGTTAGATTTAGCGGGAGTACAGGAGGTCAGATGGGATGGAGGTGGCATCGCACCAGCAGGAGACTATACATTTTTCTATGGAAAGGGGAATGATAATCATGAATTAGGTACAGGTTTCTTCGTACATAAGATAATCGTATCAGCAGTTAAAAGGAAGAATTCGTTAGTGATAGGATATCATATATAATACTAAAAGGTCACTGGTGTGATATGATTGATATGAATGTTCACGCCACAACAGAAGATAAAATTGATGACATAAAGGATAGATTCTATTAAGAACTAGAACATGTATTTGATACATTCCCAAAGTACCCTATGAAAATTTTGTTAGGAGATTACAATGCAAAGTAGGGAGGAAAGACATTTTCAAGCCAACGAGTTTGAATGAGAGTTTGCATGAAATTAGTAATGATAATGGAGTTACAGTAGTAAACTTAGCCAAACCAAAAAATCTTACTGTCAAAAGTACAGTGTTCCCATATCGTAACATCCATAAATTTAATTGGACATCTCCTGATGGGAAGATACACAATCAAATAGACCATTATTTTGATAGACAGGAGACGGCACCCAAGCATACTTGATGCCCGATCATTCAGGGCAGCAGATTGTGATACTGACCACTACCTGGTGGTGACAAAGGTTAGGGAAAGACTGGCAGTGAGCAAACAAACAACACACAGAGTTCATATGGAGAGGTTCAATCTCAAGAAATTAAATGAGGTAGAGGGTAAAGAGCAGTTTTATGTTGAAATCTCAACTACGTTTGCGGCTTTGGAAAACTTGGAAACTGAGATGGATGTTAATAAAGCTTGGGAAACTATTAGAGATAATATAAAAATGCCTGTCAAAGGGAGTCTAGGTTATTATGAACCGAAGAAGCATAAGCCATGTTTCGATGAAGGATGCTGAAAATTGTTAGATCAAAGAAATCAGGCGAAATTTCAATGGTTACAGGATCCAAGCTAGTAACACACTTCCAAGTAACAGGCACATACTAAAGTTCAGATTTAACCAAAGCAAAATATAAGCTCGGTACAGTGCCTATGCCGTGGCGATCCGCTGCGCTGATCAAGCGACACTCTCTAACCGCAAATTTGGCACTAACTTCGATGTCAAACGGCGGTCGCTCGGTCGGTATAGTTCGCTTGCGTACTACAGGCCACGAAGATTAGATTAGATTAATGCGCCTATGATAGAAAAAAAATGATTTTACAAATTAACCTTATTAATTTTATTTCTGGTGAAAAATAATATACACGTGATAATGGAAAAGAAGTTTAAAAATAATTTGTATAATGAAATTCTTAATACAGTCTGTTCACAATATAAGAGAGTTTCCAATAATGACAACAATATATTAATAAACTAAATGTTTTCTGTGTAATTAAGAGCGTTCTCTTCGCATTTGCACGAGTATATCAATTAACGCTTTTCACGCGTCTCGCTCTGTATTGTTTTCATAAGTAGCATAATGTTGTGTTGCAGATTTGACAGAGTTCATGTTGCAAGATAGAAGGAAATACTGTAGTCCGCTTGCTTATTTCCCAGTTGACTGTGGCTCGTTTGAACCGACACTCTTAATGGAATAACAAATTCCATTCTATTATTATAAATTTTTTGGATGGTGACTTTACGTTTATAACTTCTGCAAAACAGTGAAACGTAGTAATTCTCTTTCTATTTGACAAAATTTGGTTAGAAATGTTCACAATCTGAACTGGTGACTAGAGCTTAAACACTCGTATCTTGACGTGAAGATTGTTAAGACTCAGTTCCGAAAAGGAAATCTCTTCATACAGTTCATGTGACGATGTGCGTGAAGTAATAGCTGAAATGCGATTAGCAAGGGGAAAGAGAAAAGCTCAGAGGCAAGCCACATACACATTTGGCACCAGAACACATGTAAGCAACATACCTACCATCCAGAAAGTACACATCGCTGCAAAAACAAAGTGCAAGCAAGAACATGACGTCATACATCATTTTACATAATTTTAACCCCCCACTCAAAGGTGTCTCCACCTTATTGTGGTGGTAGGGCTTGCATGATTATGTTACCTGAAGAGCTATGCCGGCGGCAGTTTATCTACCAGTAGGGTCACCCATGCCGGGAAGGGCAAAGGGTAGAGTCCAGACTAAGAGAGATACCCTGGTCTTCCAGGTTGAGGTTTTGGCATGAGGCTATCAACTTCATCCTCTAAAAAGGATTTTGTTCAGAAACCTAACAACCAGCCTCGGGTCATCATGCGTGGATCCATTCCTACCTCAGCACGCATTGGCTGTGGAGACTGATTGTAGAGGAGGTCAAGGCTCACCCAGGCCTGTAGCGCCTAGTGGTAGGTAGGTAGATAGGCAGGCACATCATTTCAAATTATTATTAAATTATTTTCATATATTAAAATATTTAACAAGAATCATGTTTNGGAAATCACGAGGGCTTGATCCTGAGGTTCCGCAGTGGAAATTTAGCGTCTAATTCTCCGAGGAATGACATGTACTGCTTCGAAATTCAATTGTTTTGAATATTTGACACGATATTATTGGTAAGTACAAGTACAATATATGGCAGCCGAACACAGTGGCCTCGCGGTTTAAGGCACGAAATGTTTTCGCCCGCTCAAACTCCGAGCTCGTGAGTTCGAATCCCATTCAAAGCAAAGAAGTTTGTGTTTGTGCTGTCCTGTGTAACGACGGGCTGATCTCGCGTCCAAAGGGTCCAACCGACTGTGTATAGATCAAGAAACTGAAGAAGTATCCTAGGTCCACAAGGTCTGTAGAGCCACAGATAGATATATTACACAGAGTCTGTTAGTAGAATTATTGATGAATGAGGTTTCAGATAGGATCTGGAAGGAAACTGTCGTGGAATATCGTGTCACATTGAAGAATTTACCGAGATTGACCGAGGAAAACCATGAAATATCTTAACCAGGATAGACGGTTTCGTGCACGAGATTCGAGTCAACATCTGATGAACGCGAATCTTATTATAAACGCTAGAGCAATCTCCTTGACATTTTAAATGTACCATAGAACCAATAGAAATAAACTTCAGAGTCAGATTTGCAAAATGAATTTTTATTCAGTAGCATTCAAAATATTTTGAAGACCAGAAGAAATTTTGAACCCCTCCAAGTAAGCTGAAGTGCCAAATTTTATTTTGGATTTGAAATAAAAGCGGAGTCGGAGTAGGCCTGATGATCTAAATCGTGATCATTATTAATGCTATTGTTATTATTATTATTATTATTATTATTATCGTCAGTGTGTGCTGGTGCATATAATGGGGAAAAAATACTATTTTTGGTGTTTCCTTAATAAAATAATTAAAAGTGAGAATGTACTGACAAAACAAGAACAATCACTCATAAAAATGGACGTTATACAACAATTTATATAGCATGGCAAAACAGAGTTCTACTTACCAACTGATGTAATGACTCCCAAGTATATGCCCTTACGTAAACAGCGCCCGGCACATACGCAACCTGTAACATTAACACACCACACTAGTACCTTATTGCACTGTAGTACGTATGAATTGTGATTTGTTGGCGGGGCAACTTGCCATTGGGTGACCAGACTCTGCAATGATACGCAATGCTGCCGTGGAACAAACAGCTAATCTCCATTGATATTTAATTAGCGGAGATGCTAATGGGCTGAACCGAACACAGGTTAAATGTATGGAATCGATACAGTCCCGATATTTATTTAGTTGTTTCATGCGATTCATTACGTCAAGTGCTGTGCATGTAGAAACAACACTGGGATTGTCTGGTATTTTTGTGACGTCATCAGTAAGACGAGACATAACAGGTAACACACTGAATTACATTTTTCCTTTGTTTACTGCTTATTTAACGACACTTTTAATAGCTCAAGTTACAAGAACCTCGACTGGTAAGCTGAATTGTGTAGATGATATTAATAAAGGTGTGGAAGGAAGCGGTCGTGGCCTGATTTGAGGCACTAGCTTGTTATAGACTGAAGAAAAGAGCGGGAATTATGAGTCGGGATAACATACGAATTAGTGTAAAGCAGGCATAATATATATTTGGAATTAACATGTCTGCTTCATGGAGCAATTAACTTACATTGAGACTTGTATCAAAGGAAGTCTACATAGAAAACATTTCTCTTTATAAAAATTACTTTTCTCCTGGGTTGTGATGACGTGTAAGTTGGTAGGAAACACTTAAATTTTCGGAGAAAAAATTATCCCTTGAAATAAAATCTTTACACCTGATTGGATGGAATCATTTTAATATTAAGCAGAAATGTCTCATTTGATGCACTTGTGGCAGTGACTATGAAGACAATTGTCTCGTGTGTTGTAACGTTGTGCAGTTTGGCAAGTAGATACCAGATTTTCGACGAAAATGAAATAAATCATCGTACTTATCGAGATAGTTGTGAGATCTGATGTTCTCACGTACTATTGAGACTAATGGTCCACTCTCTTCTGGGAAGTGATATTATGTACTCTGGTGGAGGGACAGATAAGTTTCGGAGAAACCTTATGCATCCATCGTCATGGTACCTTGCTGGATGGGAGACAGTATGTTTTTCCAAAAAATATTTACCTCTCTATCAAATTACACGACAACAGACAAAATAAGACCAGACATGACTGTGAGAACATTAAATATCACAAATTTCTCACAGTAATTCTGAAACGTATATTAGTCAATATTAATTTAAGAAACTTTAGTATGTTGATATGACATTGACGAAATGTTAGCCCCTTAAGAATTTTCTTAATGAACAAGTGACAACATTCGGAGTCACGTGTATGTATGTATATGAAGTTCATAATATTTTATCTTCCGACTCTTGCCTCAATACTTAAAAATTAAAACACACAAAACTATAGTTTGAAAGGTTTCTTTGCGTGTGTCTGAAATATATCTCAAATTAAGGTAAACATAGATTGAGAGGGTTTGAGAACATGATGCTGAGAACACATGGCATAAGATGAAGTGAGAGGAAACAGTAGACAATTACATAATGTGGAACATCTTAATTTGCTCTCTTCACCAAATATTATTAGAATGATCATATGAAGGACACAGAAAAGAACTGGGCATATAGCACGCATGAGAACGGTGAGAAATTGATATAGAATTTGTATCGAAAACGTGAAGTTAAGTCATAATATATTATAATATTAAATATAATATTAATAATATTAAAATTAAGTTCAAAAAGACAATGGATGGAAGAATGAGGATTACATTCGTCTGATCAAATATAGAAAGGGGCGAAGGGCACTTGTGCACAAGGTAATGAACCTTCCGGTTCCGAAAAAGGCTGGGAAATTTCTCGTTAACTGAATGACTTTCATCTTCTCTTCACAAAATTATTTGTCCCACCTGTAATATGCGCATTCCTCTGAAAAAGTATCTTCGATACATCCTATACAGAACTGCAGTATAAAGTTAAAAGAGATTAAATTGTCCATGAGCTTAATCGACTAAGTATGACGCCTTGAAGACGTATTGGGGAGTGAAGGTATAATTCCACAATTATGGACCTCAGCATTAGCAGGAGCCGAGTGGCGAGCTTCACGCCCCTGCCGCTTTTCCCCCGAGGAAAGAGCTGAAAGTGTCAAATATACATATGTGTGGGTGGGCCCCAAAGCCGGTCTGGACGTTGCGGAGCAGAGAAAAAAATCTTACCACTGCAGGGAATTCAACTGCAGCTGAGCCCCTCGCTATACTCTCTGAGGCCTCCAGGCCCTACAATTGCTATGCAGCTTATCAGATTAATGAAGATTGCCTCAAATGATGTGACTGGGATATCTATCGTACATGTTTACCAAATTTTTGAGGAACATTCTGCCTCTACTTTCAGGGCAGAAGAACAAACCGCGTGGAAATAAATATACGTAAATTATACGGAGTGCCTCAGGAGGAAAGTTCAGTGTTCTGAGAGATCATAGTATCGGGTGTTCTAAGCAAGAAAGCGTATACGTACATGTGTCTTATTTCAAACGGTTTCCGAGACAGAGCTATTTCACCGTACAGACGAGCAACACGCCATGTTCTCACACCAGTTGCAAAGTGTATTTATGTTGACGGTGGAATTTTCGAAAAAGCATTACACTAGGTGAGTTCCAATGAGCCGATCACGGTGGCCGAGCGGTCTAAGGCATGTACTGTCTTCTCTCTCTCCGAAGCCGGGATCGTGGGTTCGAATCCCACTCAAGGCATGGATATTTGTGTGCGTTTTTCTGTTTGTGTACAGGTAGAGGCCTTGCGACGAGCTGATCACCCGCCCAAGGAGTCCTACCGTATGTCTAAGATCTAGTAAAACCGAAGTGAACGGAGAGTTTTATGGAGGTAGACCTAGGCCCAAATGAGGGCTGTAGCGCCAAAGAAATAAAAAAGTTCCAATGACGTCAATGAATTTTTTTTCAATTGACCTAATCTTTCCAGCCATACTATGGCCCTGAGGTCGACTCAGCCTCTAACAGAAATGAGTATCAGGAATATTCTTGGGGGTAGAGGACGGACGGCGCTTAGGGCTGACAACCTTTCCACCATCTATGAGCCGATTTTCTAGTAAATGTAGGAATCTTAACATCTCACAACCTTATGGGCCTCCACGGTATGTTACAGAGATACCTTTACTTTACTTTACTAGGTGAACTGTATCAAATTTGTCACTTAAGCAATAAATACCGGTATTAGAAACATTGCGTAATATCTCTTTCTTATCAGCCATTTTGGAACTGTACAGTGAAATAGCTCTAAGCCGCAAACCGTTCGGAACAGGACACATGTACATATACTATTTTTGTTTAGAACGACCGATACTAGGACCTCCCAGAATACTGACCTTTCCTCCTGGGACATTCTGTATATGGAAAGAAGAACAGTGAGGTTAAGAGCAAAGCAATGCACTCAGCGCAGCTCCCGTCCACACTGCAGATTAAAGCATGAGATTAGTAATGATATACCAGAATACAAGACGTCATATCGGATTAGCCATTTATTTAAACGAATATCATATTCTTTTAGGCCCCAGGGATAAATATATCTGATTCTATATGTGTCTTAATTCTTCTATTTACATTTAAATGGTTAATTGTACATGAGATCAATTTCGTAACTTTGCAAGATAAATCCGACTTTATATATTAATCGTCGAAAATGATAAATTCCATAATATTAAGATTTTTTTCAGTTTGTGGTTTTTACATCTGACGAAGGTCATTTTAGTGATAGAGGTGTCCAGTAATAACCACACCTGTAGATACGAAGACTGCGAGGTGGCTTGCACTTTTCACTTGTGGGCCAAAACTAACAGGATGGAACATTGTTAAAAAATCTTCATGGGCCGAAATCTGATTACTTTTATTTTTCTTGGGATCGCTCCATATTGTCAAGTGGCTGGGTGAATATAGAGAGAATATGAATTGATGAATAGATTTATTGGCCATTTGCATGTAGTGACTACAAATTAACTGCAGCACTGTTGCTAATTCCTACTCTTTACAAATTATTACACGCCAAGTCTTTTTCAGCCTGATTGTCTTCATTGGTCGTTGCTTTGTAACAGCTCTCAACAATAGAGATCCTTCAGCTTCTGTGCTCACGTCGTTACTGTCTGGAGAATATCCCAAATCTGAAATATAGCGCCATCTTTTGTCAGCCCTTCTTGCAGAACTATACTCTCACCTGACTGGGTCGCCCCAATTGTCTTTCTTTTAACACCTTTGCACGGGCCAAATAGAAAACACCGTTTCCAACAGTAATTCTATAGTTGCGTGCGTATCCATTGCCGTGGGAACGTATTAACCGATTCGTTGTCTATAAACGGATGTTATTTGTTTTCCTATCTCGCAGCCGTTGCACAGGAACGGCTGTACACGCAACAATATTTTTCACGCGTCAATATCTCGCTTTCGTTACCTGCACAAAAATAGAGAAAATCGACGATTACGCTGGCTCAACCGGTAACGATTCAAAGTTGCATTCTGGAGCTGCCTGGTTCAAACATAGAGCATGAGCACCGACTATCGTGACTGAAATTTTTTATAGTCTTCCTGAAAACCTCCAGGCATGTGCCTGGAGGGACCAAGTACTACCATAAATTAGGCCACGACCACTTCTCTCCACGACACTTTGCAGTTCATATCTTACCTATCAATCTAGAATTAGATGCTATATAGTCTACTAAAAGCGTTGTTAAACAAGCTATAAATGACAACTAAATTTTGTGACGATTATACAGAGTTACTACAAATGACTCATTCCATTTCGAAACACTATACTGGTCGCCGCGTGCTTTTCCGTTTACACAGACAACCAGTATCCTTAAATTGCCGATACCACCACAGAATGCTCTGTTTACATGGCGGTTCTTTTCTGTGCTCTGCTCTGAATGCACGATGCACTGCAATAACAGACGAACGTCTCGCATATTCGAACACACAGAAACTGTTTTCCATCTTTGTAGCCATTTTGTGAGACACTGCACC